GCAACTCGTACTACTCGTACTGCTTGTGCTCTCACTCTCGCCCCCTTCCACTCTCTGCTCGTGGGGAAGGTTGGGGATCGGGCCGTGATCAGTACACATACAATACTTATTACACTGTGTACAGGGGACTCGACTCCTCTCCGATAAACATCGCGACCATGCATGCACTCTATCTCCCCCCCCCCCTCCTTCTCTCTCCTTCTCTCTCTCTCTCTCTGACGCATCAGCTGACTGACGGCATTGCTGGCGGGTACGTTACCGCTTGACTGACTGAGACCGACTGACGGACAGACACACATTTACCCCCTGCCCCCCCCCCCTTTTCTCTACAAAGGTGGGCGCGCGTGCGCACACACACACACACATGTACACACACGCACGCACAGACACACACACACACATTCACTCTCGCACATCTGTTTTCACCGTCTCGCCCTTGTCAAGTAATTCCGACCCGTTCTCTGTCCTTGGCCGTTCCGTCTCCTTCGCACACATAGCTTAAGCTTAGCTACTGGGTTGTGGTGGGGCGGAGGCCTCGCAAGGCCTCGTGACGACGTCGACAGCCAAGTCAAGTAGTGTGCTTGAACGTGAACGTGTGGTGACATTCTGTGAATGGGGGTATACTCCGCGCGCTGGCGCTACCCCGTACAGGCCGTCGCCGTCCATACTTCTCGCTCACGCCCAGAGACCACGAAAATGTCACGAATAGGTCATTTTCGGTCATTTGACGTCAAAATGACCGAGTTTTGGCCTAAATTTGGACCTTTCTCGTGGCCAAATTAGTCCTTTTGATGTCAATATGACGTCCTCGTGAGTTTTTCGTGTTCATTGGGCTCTACTCGTCATCGTCAAGTGCTTCCCGCACCGGGTTGTCACCCCGTCACCTCGATTATGGATATTTAGTCGACGTTTTTGCCGCTTTTCTTTTAATTTGTTTGCATCGTTCACCAGTTGTTTGAGAATAACAAACAACTGATAACCGACGAACGGCAAACAGTCTGTTCAAATACAATTATAATAATCAGCGAAAGCTACTGCTCTGTTACTAAACTGAAATGGGCATGAGGAGTAAGTTCTGTAACTACTTTGATGACCTCCTGAGGCCCAAAACTACGCGTATCTGATGTATACACCACGACGTCCTGCGATTCTACAGTTTCTTGACTGCCGCGCGCCCAGCTTCAAACACCCCGCCCACTCCGCCCCAGCGGCTTGTCGACTTCCGCCGCTCACGTCGGACAGTGCTGCCCTCTGGATTTTAGTTGGTGAACCTCAGGACGTAATCCGTGTGACTGCGCGAGTTGTTTTGACGTTTTGTTTGTGTTTGTGTATCTTTGCCGTCTGCTGGAACTCGCGGATAACTTTTGGCTATTTGGATAATTTCCGCGAGGACGGCCAGGAGTCAGGGTTCTCTAAGCTCCCCACTGCCTCCTTCCAGATTCGGTGAGCGCTAGCCTTTTGTTATTCTCTTACGGGACTTGTATTGATTTATACCCGAGGCCCGAAGCCAGCCTGCCCAGCTCAATTTAGGCTGGTCCCGTCTCGTCTCTAGATCGATCCCTTCCGATCGTCCTGGGCGTGAACGCCGTCGAACGGGATTTCGAAAAAGGGTTTATCTCAGTTCGAAGGACCGCAAGACACGGTCGTTGAGTGTCCCGTCTGCTGAGTGGTTCGGGCCGCGGGCCTGGTGTCCTGCAGTGGTTATTTACTGAAGAGGTTATGTGCGGGACGGGGCCCTTAGCAGACCCCTGCTGCCTTCGTTTAATCAGTGTTTCGCTATCCCTGGACTGACTGCAGCTCGGATTCTGTCTGTTGTGGTGAGTAGAACAGTGCAGTGGCGAGCGTCGATCGATTTTGTGGAAGGTTTGACTTGCAACCCTCTCAGGGGTAGTACTACATTCCTGGTTGAAGGGGTTGAGAATTTTAGGTTAATGTCCAACTTTTCATGCCCTATCTGATTCCTTTTCTCTCTCGTTGTATAGATGTTCAGACGGGTTATTAGTTTCTCACCAGTCTCTTTTATTGCATTTTTAGTAAATATATTGAGTACAGTGATCTCTTGTATTTTTCTTGGATTGAACATTACATATTCAATCTGATGGATGGCAAGGCAACAACTTTTTTATAAGTCTTGCTGAAAGACTTCAGCAGATCTCCTTTGGGTACCGTAACTTTATCACTGGTTAAAATTGCAACCCTTGCTTTTCAGGGTTCTCTTGCATGTTCTGCAGGTGACCCAAGGTGTTACTGAATAACATTATGGTGCTAGACTGTGAGCATATTACTATTGAAAACTATTGAAAGACAATAATTTACAACACCTCTGGTTATTTTGTGATTTGTTTCACTACTGTCTGTTTTATTTCATAGATGTTTAATCGGACTGTCTCTGTTCCGTTGACTTGACCTGAATGAATCAGTCCACTTATAACCGTGTGTTTCGTGTTTCCATATCAGTTCTTAACTTATTGGGAAACGTCACCTTTTTCCTAGCCAATATTGGTGTATTTCAAAGCACTTATTGAACCTGCCTTGAAAAAGCACAGCAACTATCTTAAGTATTCTTATTATTTTTTTCTATTGTAGATAATGTAGGTGCAACCTCAGAGTGATAATTACGTTCCATCTGTTTGTGCATTTTTACACTATACTTAGGCTGAAATAGCCAAGGAATAGCTTTCAACGCCCCCACAGCTTCACCACCTTCCCATACCGACTCATTTTCCAAATTGCACCACCTGTACCGCCAGTAAGAGCATGATACAGCCCTTCCCCTCGGTGATCTCCAGCAGCGTCCCCGCCCCGCCCCGCCCAGTGCCGGCAGAAGCCAGGAGGGGTGCCCCTGCTGAGTGGACGCTGTTCCGTTTCCGAAGTGCCGCCGTCGTCGGTTTTCTGCACCGTGTTCCTTGAGCCTCCCCTCTCCCCCTCCCCCTCCCGCTTCCGCCTCCCTTCCCTGCGGTTAGAGAGCTGACTGGAGTCCAGCTGATCTCGTTACGTCACCGCGCGCTTGATTCAGTCGGCTTCCCCCCGCGCGCTGCGGTGACGTCATTCAGGGGTTTGCGTGGCGAGCTGGGCGGGGGCGAGGCGACTGCCACTGCCACTGCCACTGCCACACGATACACAGTCCTCCTGCGAGCTCTCCCCGGAGTTCTATAGGGAGCGTTTTACTTCCGAGTGTGCTGCCCCGCCCCGCCGCACCCGGAGGCCCCACCGGGTGCCCCCCTCCCCCTCACTCCTGCGCCGCGCCGCTTGCAGCCCCATTTGCATCCCTCCCTTCTTTCCGGCAAGACCCTGCGGGTCACGCTGCGGCAGGCTGTTGTCGGCTTTTAGCAATTATAATTTGCGAAGCAGATATTTGGTGGTCATCAGTCTCGTCCTTGCGTGCCCTGCTCCCCCACCCGCTCCGGCCCGTTCCGCTCCGGCGCGGCCACCCGCCCCCTTCCGTTGGCCGCCTGGAGAACTGGAGAAGTCGACGAGGGGGAAGTTCAGCCGGCCGGCCCCGGCCGGTCCGAGGTCCGGGCGATGGATGCACTTTGCCCCGCTTCTTTTCTCTGCGCGCTGGCTCCATCTGGCCGGCCAGCACACCATCTCCGCAACGGCCTCTTCTCTCCTCTCGCTCGCTCCTGCCACTCTCGCTCGCTCTTGCCGCACTCGGCCGTCTATCGCTCTCGCTCACTCCCCCTCGTAACAAGTGAGCGAGGGAAAAAAATGGCAGACACCGAACGAAAGCTAGAAATGGGGGAGTGACACGAGGAGGGGCCCACCCCGCTGCGTGTGACCCGAGAGGGAGGGAGCGAGAGAGAGTGAGAGAGAGAGGGATGGAGAGGGAGCGAGGCAGCCCGCACCTCCCCTTGCTCGCTCGCGACTTCTCTGGGCGGGAGCGGGGGAGGGGAGCCTTTGCGGTCTAACCTACCCCTACGACGCCCTCACCCTCCCCCTGGCCCTGCCCGGCGTCGCTTCGCGGCGGGGCGCGGCGGGGCGTGGGGCGGCGTGGCGCGGCGCCCTGCCGAGGGCTTTAGCGTCCACCCCGCACCCCCAATAGCGCCCGCCCCGCCGCGCCCCGCCCCGCCCCGTCGTTTTGGCTCTCTCGCCACGTGCGGCGCTACGTGCTAGTACGAGTCTCGCCGGGCTGCGGGCCGGTCCTCGCCGGGCTGAAGCCGTCGCTCACTCCGCCCCGCCCGCCGCCTACCTCGCGAGCGTCCCCGCCGGTCCCCGCTGGCAGCCCCATTCTCCGCGAGGCAGGTTGCGGCGAGGTTCTTCCCGGTGCACGCTGTCGGCCGAACCCCCAGGGAGGCCCCGCGGCCGCCCCCACCCTCGCCCCGGGTCTCGTGTCGTGTTTTACTACTGCCGACCCCGGTGACGCTGCTCCGTGGTCGAAGTACCGCCCTGTGGTCGTAGCTGACGTACCGGCCTTGGCCCCGGGGCTGCGATGCACCTCTACCGCTGGACACCGGCCCATCTCTCCTAAAAGGTATCGGTACACATACGCCCTCGCCCAGCCTGGATACGCCCGGCTTAGGAGCTTCGGGACCTCCGACCAAACCGACCGTAGATTAAAGCCTCTATGCCTCCGACCGGACTTCGTGTTACCGATCATAGACTTATAAGACCTGTGCCTCTGACCCTGCCTCCTGCCTCCCGCCGTCGTGTCGCGCACCGCCTCGGCGCAAACACTTCGGAAATAGCGTCGTTCTGCCTGATGCTGTGCCTGCGCGCCCCGCCTTGTTGTGCTATACACCCGCCTGATCATATCGCACCCCACGAAGTGCACAGGTCAGGCCCGAGGCGGCGTTCA